TTCGTTGTCTTTTCCTCTCTCTCTCTCTCTTCGCCTCGTTTCTCTGATCGTCTGTATAGATCAACGATTTCATTCTCGTATTTGACTAACTTAATTCAGTTATTCACTTAAACAGTTTAATTCGATGATTACAAAAGAGGATTGACTGCATGTATGTTTTGGTAGCAATCAGCAAACGATCTAACTTAAGTCAGATAATAGGCCACTATAAAACGTTTTACTGAACCAATCTTTCATATTTTTGTACACTTTTACCCACCGAAGAGTAATCTCACCAATTTTCATTTTTAATTAAATATCCTAGCATAGTTTTCTACTTGATCTATCATTTGCTTCACTCTTCCTTATGTCCATCTCATTTGAAATGTTCTATAACATACCCATGCTAAACAACCTAGTTATATAATATACCCTTGTAGGCCAGGGTAATTTTACATTGGTTTTTAGGAGAACCAGAAACCATCCAGGATTTCACTTGACAAGCCAAACAGTACAGCTCAATCCCGTTTAACAGGAGAGCCAGACACCGACCAGGCTTAACAATTATAACCCAAGCAGTACAACTTGATACCGCTTCACAGGAGAACCAGACACGTATAAGCTTAAACGCTTCAATCTGAATAGTACAGCTCAATCCTGTGGCGCAGTCACACAAATAACAAGCACCCTGGCAAACCATTTGATGAACCTATCTGCTTTTATTCAAAATATTGTATTCCAGTCATTCTTAGTATATCCACATATTTTTGTTTGAAATCAGTGGGTATAGTCAACTATTTTAGTGTTATACTGACATAGAGTCCCAGACAACCTGATGATCAACTCTTGGATTATTATTCCTGAATGATGAGATTAAAGGCATACATTTAAACCTTTTAGAAAAATCTCATAGCTGTTATATTTTGGTAGTTTTACAAGTATTACGATCATCCGATTGAAATGTTTAGCTTTGAGATCATCAAAACAAACCTTCTTTATCCACTGTTATTCTGATTTACATCATAGAGTGAGGTGAGTGATAACACTGAACGAAGTGACTGACTTGCATGACACACTTAAAAAATTTCTCATTCTGTTGTAGCGTACACAATTTATTCGGTACAGATAATATCGATTAACTTCAAAGTAGGCTAATGAATGATGATTTTGCAGACGGTCAGATATGAAAGTCATGGTATTGATCTAGTATAGTATGTTTATAGTTGAAAATGTTTTAACGAAGGACTGTAAAATGAATGCCTACTTTCATTGAGTTTTTTACAGATAGTATTCAGATTATAGCTAGTCAATTGACAATAAATCACGAAACAGTCACGCAAAAACTGTCACGCTTAATCGGTTTCATAAAGTTGTTATATAGCCCAGTGGAGGAAGAAATCAGGAAGAAGCGCTGGAAGTAGGTAGGACATACACTGAGTAAAGCAGCCAACTGCGTCACAAGGCAAGACCTCACACATGGAATTCTCAAGGCCCAAGGAAAAGAGGAAGACCAAAGAACATATTACGCCATGAAATGAAGACAGATATGAGAAAAATAAACAAAAATAGGATAGACCTGGAAAAGAAGGCCCAGGACAGAGTGTGTTGAAGAATGTTGGTCGGCCTAGGTAGGTAAGTACGTTGTTAAGTAAACACTTCAATCACGGTGATAGTTGTGTTTTCACTGTCTGTTTTGCAGAACGTAAATCATGGATCTAAACTCACATAGACTCCATCGCACCATTGAACATCGAAAAATTGACTTCACGAATGGATTGACTTATATTCAAATGTGACGACTTTTCAAGGATTTCAAAATGATTCATTCATTCAACAGTTTTCAACACAGTAAACTAACAAAAATATTATTATAACCCGCCTTGATTTGGCTAAAATAAAAAATATCTTGACTGACTAGAATTAAATTAAAACTTCGATCCTCTAGTTTCTCTAAATCACAATTATCTGTATGTTTTACTACTCTCATGGATTAGCCTATCAGGTAGTAGTCTCACCATCTTCCCTGTACTTATTCTTACTAATATATTTCTGTAATAAAGTCCTTTGTGTTATACGGTCTTCAAAGCATTCATAGTACTTTGATACGTTGAATGGGTAATCCAAGTAAGGTGTTGACCACGAAGCGTGACTTCAAAGTTAGCCCTTAGTCGAACCGTTTCCGTATAACTCCAGTAGACCTCCAATCACTCAACACAGATCATCAACGTTGATGTTCTACACCTTCATTTTAGAAATACGAAAACTAAATCCAGTAAGAATTAAATGGTATAAGAATGACAACAATGTCCAACTGGATGTATCCAGTTATAATGAGGAGTGAAGAATGTGGATCTTTCCAGAGTTTCAGATTTATTTGTAGATTTAATGGTCTTGTAAAATGTTTAATACCTATGGTTAATGTTAGGCACTGAATACTCTAGATTAATGTGACATATATGAAGACAATGTACTGTTCAACAGGGGGAATTGAAACGGTTAGTGAATATATGATCTTACCCGGTACTTTGCAAGAACATTCAGCGTTCAAAATAAGCTTTCAATGCCTGTTAATATCGAACTGGTTGCATCAAAAATTGATAATGGCTATTCAATAACGATGGACGTTTCGAACAGCCTACTCATTTGGCAGAACATTTGAAGAGCTATTCAATAGCTACTAGCTAATAGTAAGTAGCATAACATTTTACACAACAATGTTATGCAAATCGAACTGGTTCATGCTAATAAATGTTAGCAATTCATGAATATTAACCATACATTCACTTAAACTAAATTATTTTCACACATGAATTGACCATCAGCCCTTTCTGAATGTATTTTGAAGCCACAAACAAACATTTGCTAAACATGTTCATTGGCTGAACTAAAAAGAACAACTGAATACTTCTTAAAGATTCTCATATGCATCAAAAATGAACAAATATCGCTACGTTTAAATAAACATCGATCAGTTGTGCGTTTTATGAAAACTTCAAATGAAGACAATAAATCACAATCATGTAATTTGAAGGTGAACGTTACCAGAAATATGGGATTTCATATTCGTCTAATAAACTTGACATATTCTCATTTCTTATTTAGTTTATCAGTATGAGGATCAGTGGAGATTGTGATATTTTCACATTTGAACACACGATCACGGTTCTATTGTACCTATACGATGTACATCGTACTGAAAGTCTTCAGTATAATTCATTGTGACTACAGTTGAGTCGGCCGATCACCAACATCTGTTCATTGATTTGACAGAGTAAAAGCATAACTGATGTTTCCTAACCCATTTGTGTGTTCGACTCATCTGTAATATTTACAACATCTGAGTGAATAGTTATGTAAAAGAGATCTAAAACTCTTCAGTATAATTCATTGTTTCTTTCATAAATGTCGGTATCAATGAGAGCCAACGGAGAGATTGCAATGATAGAACAGTATGAACACCATTAATTCGTACTTGCTGATTTCGCATCTAATTGAGCAGCTCACACTTTGATTAGTACTTTGAATAAAATCATATATATTAAACATACTTAGGGTTATGATAAATCATATGCTACATGTCATGCTGAGTATAGTTCAGGTCAGTTGAATACAAGAATATTGTATGTTACACAATATAAAATGTCACACTTGGAAACAGAAACAAATACTACACTGCGTAATCATCACATTGAATTAAACCGGAATCGGTGGAATTTGCTGACGTAATGATTGTGACACATTTGGTCGTTGGCAGTGGGCATTAGTTGAGACACAGATAGAAAAGTTGAACTTTTAGACTATTGAGTGACATATATTACTAGTCATGTGCAAGGTTAATACTATTATTGATTAGCACATTTCAATTCAAACATCGTAGATATGTTCCAAAAGTGAATTTGGTCATGAATAGAATGTTGTTATTTGAATGATGCTGATTGAATAGGTCAACGAATTATACAGAAACGTACCATGTAGATTTAACACGTTACCATACTCCAACAACATCAAGCTGTCAGTGTAAGTTCAAGAGTTGTATAAGTGGCAACATTATAAGTGATAAAAGGAAATATTAACCGTCAAATGTACGATCTGAGATGAAAATATGCGATAGTAGGGTGAAAACGTCATGAGATAGCTTGAAAGCATTAGATCCAAAGGAGACAAAATCTGGGTGAATTTGTGCCATTCATCACGAATCTCAGTTATGTCATAAACGCCTCTAACGACTGGTTACGATAACCATGCAGATCCCAACCGGCAAGTCACCAGCTACACATATGATTCGGTTCATAGGCAGTAGTTGTATGACCTGATTCCATATCTTGATTTGGTCACACTTAGTTTCCATTCAGCCTACATCTACATCACACAACATCGTTTTTCCAGATATTCGATGCGTGAGTCTACGTAAAACGTTCGGATACTCTCAGTCGATAAATTTTCACGAACCTGTCAATCGACTTGTCATACTTATCACGGAATAGCCCTTTCCATGGTCCAAACATATACGACCGATTGTTCGGAAACATTTATCACCTGTTACACGCAACCTATGAATATCCCTATTTTTAAAAGCGACATTTCAAAATCACAAAGTAGAACGCAGTGAACTGCTATGCACTATACATGTTCTTTAGTGTGCAGGCGAATATCTCTCGTCCACCACTTAGGAGCGAGATAAAGTCATAAACTTGCAGTTGTACGTATTTCAAGGCATAACCTTGTATGAATATTTAACTGCCGGTCAGAAACCAGCAGAAGATTACTTTTGGATGTCCAAACATATTGTTAAGACAAAGAATTCATCCATTGTGATCAAACAAATCGTCTACGTAATCTTTGAGTTGTTTATGTGCATAGAAGCATATGGAGACATTTACTGATTCTCCTCCAGGAAGGTCGTGATAGTGAACAATTCCATAGACGTCACGTCATCTTGTATAAAGTATGTATACACGAATGCGTGTCTACAGTAGAGACACATACTGTGAAATCATTACATTGAATGAAAACGGAATTAATGTTGAACAGAAATTATAATGAGTAAGCAAATGTAATTTTGACATTTCATCCTGTTATATCAAATACTACATAATGATATTTCATGAGGGATATAAGAAATAAATAGGATAGGAAATTGTAAGCGATTTACATATCTTCTCCTAGTTCCTATTTCAGGATTATCTTAATCTGAGGCTTGTGTTACTGCTAGCTATTGTTCATTATTTTCCTTTAAGAAATGTAATTTCATTGTGTGAACTTGCTATATTATCGGCTCACATTTTGTTTTGTTCTCCTCTTTCCTAGACCTCCTCAATCATACTATTCTACGCGCTTCTATATGACACAAAATACCTCCTGGTTAGACGATAAACGCCAAGTACATAAGTTTCTGCAAATGAAATCCGACCAACAAATGTCTCTGAAAATTTTACTTCCACAATCGTATACTGCCAAATTGTCGATCGACAACAGCAAACTAGAAGATGTCACATACGTCCAAAACACAGTTATAGGTGTATCAACCATATTCTTTGCAAAGCCTCCTACCATCAGCATAAATAGAGACATTCAATTGTAGCTCTATTCTTCAAATCATAGTTAACTCAATTTCGTCTCTTATGACAGTTGATAAAGATTCTTGTTACAAACAGGTAACGTTCAACCGCAACAACCACAGTGGTTGGCAAATGTTCCTTCGCTAAACATCGATGATTACACAGTAATTCATACGTCAAGCATAAAAGCGTTTGAAATCATCTTATCAACTTTCACAATTGATGTAGATCCAACCAAATCAAATATGATGCCAAAATGTTCAGCCTCACCTCCTCTTATCTACGTGATACAGTTAAAGTAAACAATACAATAACTAAATAATAAAATTATATTTGATGCAAAATATTTGAAATTAACTCGAAAGATAAGTAATATACGTAGCTGAATCAAAATTCCACTTCATTACAACAAACTTCCACTTGGTAGGTTACGGACTAGAAGGTTAAACTCAAGCAGACCAGGAAAGTACCAATAGTTTCCTGCAACACATTGACTAAATACCATTATATAGTCATTTATCTTGTCATCACTATCACCAGTCATTCGATCCAGCATGAAATCGAAATTCTCTGTATCTGCTGCGTATGCTATGAATAAGAGACCAGCACCTCCAGATAGACTTCCAAATGGTTGAGATTGTCGAACAATCTTATATTTCTTACTAGCTTCAAACTTGTCAGCTGTCAGTATGAGATGAAAACAACAGTTATTGACAATTGTAATTAAACGTCAAAACAGAGTTTACTCTATTCAACACACGAGATGTGAATACCAAATAATCAAATAATATGTCTTCAATATAAAAATACAAATTCAAATCCATGGAACCCAGGTTTCTCAGAAACAGGGTCAGTGAGGAAACCATTCATAAACCAGTGAGAATCCTCAACATATGTCACATTCAAGTGTGGAAGTGAATGCTAACTAATCTAACATTAGGACAGATCAGTAGGAATCCAGTTTAAGGTAACATAGATTGGTGAAAAGCAAACGGATTTCTACATACTTCATTTAAGAATGGTACATTTCTGAAATTACCATACATGTGGGATATGTCAACGAATTATTCATTTGGTTTCAGAAATGTGGACAGCAGAATAAAAGGCACTGGCCAAATCCAAGAGTTAAATGACCTTCAATCCACTCGCTTCCTGGCCGAGTAGTGTATAAGAATTTCTAATGAACTTCATATGTAGATGAGACATCTCTCAATAGCAATCTGTACTTTAACTATAGGTACATCTTCATTGAACAACTAAAGAATTCGGGTAAAATGTTTTATGAAGTAATAAAATACTCTAAACAATATTCACATAGAAACATAATATAATTATGCTACAGTTATTGCTTACATCCAACCATTCTGGCAACATGTGATGTGTTTGGTTTTTTTATCATCTCATGGCTATCATTTATAGTTCGACCAATCCATTGTTCTTTTGTCTCATCTACAAAACGAAATATGTGGAATTAGACTCTCAAGACAACTGTCATGATCATCATTCCTTGAATCCAACTTTAAGAGGAATAAAAATAAAATATCAATACACTCTAAACCTTCTACGTCTTACATCCATAAATGGTGAAATCAGTCAGTCAGTCAGCTACAGCGTAGGACCAGGCACATATGTGCATCGGTCCAGGTTGCCATACCGCATCAGCACAACAAGATGAACACCGGATTCATAGCAGTGGTTAGGTCAAAGGTAGTAATATGTAGGAGAAAGATTGCATATAGAGATATAGTACAAGAAGAAAGAATTGGTTCGTAGAAAGAAAGATATGAAGCGATTTTAATCTCTTAGTTTAAGACAGGAAGTGTATACACCGACGCCATTGTGATCGATTGTGAGCCATGTCACCATGAGTCTCCAACCATTGGTTACGATAGTCACGCGGACCCCAACCAAGTAGTCTACATCTACCAACATGGCTCAGACTAGAAGTTAGTGACTTCAAGCACTGATGCCACGTTTTGGTTTGGCCGCCCCTAACTTTCTTCCAACCATTTCCAATACCGGATAGCATTGCACGTCGTGGTAATCGGTGTTCAGGCATACGTAACACGTGGCCCAACCATCTCAGTCAATGAAGATTCATAACCTCATCAACTGATTTACCATCATTCCCTAATACCCTGCGTCTAACCTCACTATTACTTACCCGGTGATCCCAGCAGACACCAGCAATATTTCTAAGGCATCTGTGGTCAAATACTAATAGCTTACGAGTGTCTTCTACTCTTAATGGCCATGTTTCGCTGCCGTAAATTAAAACAGAACGGACTGCCGCGCAGTATACTCGTCCTTTTATTGATAGGCGGATATCTCGCCTTCGCCATAGGTGACGCAAGTTGGCAAAAGCCAAACGAGCTTTTCGAATCCGTGCTGAGATTTCGTCTGATACCAACCCATTAGGGCTGATCAGACTTCCAAGATAAGTGAAGTTGTCAACGCGTTCGACTACTTCACTCCCTATCCTTAGTTCAGGTGTTAACGCAGACCAGTCCTGAAGCAACAACTTGCATTTAGAGGGAGAGAAGCGCATTCCAAACATCCTGGCATTGTTGCCCAGTGCTACCAGAAGACTCTGCATTTTTGTCAGCGTCTTCACCAAACAGGACTATGTCATCTGCGTATTCTAAGTCGATAAGTGGACCTCCTGGTAGGAGATCAATACCCGAGAACTCAGTCGACGAGAAAGTTATTTCCATCAGTAGATCTATGATGAAGTTAAACAAAAATGGGGAAAGTGGACAGCCTTGACGGACACCACTTGAGGTTGCAAAAGTAGATGACAGTTCGCCATAATGTCTGACTCGACTAGTAGTGTTCGAGTAAAGAGCCTTTACAAGGTTTATGTACTTCTGGGGTACGCCTTTCAATGACAGACACTGCCACAGAATCTCGCGGTCTACAGAGTCAAATGCTGCTTTTAAGTCAAGAAAGACCACCATTGTCGGACGCCGATAAGTATGCCTGTGTTCTAGAACCTGACGAATGGTGAATATGTGGTCGATGCAGCCACGACCAGGTCTAAAGCCAGCTTGGTTCTCTCGTGTTTGCAGTTCACGACTCTTAGTTAGGCGTCTGATAATTATCGAGGCTAGTATTTTAGATATTATATTAGTTAAACTAATCCCTCTGTGGTTGTCACAGGATGATTTTGACCCTTTCTTATATATTGGGACGATAAGTGATTGTGACCAGTTAGATGGGATAACGTCCAACTCCCAGATTTTAGCTAAAATATTAGTCAACCTAATCGCTAAAATTGGACCACCATCCTTAAAGACCTCTGGAGCCAATCCATCTGGACAAGCTGCCCTTCCTCGTTTCAGATTAACTATAAACTTTTGAACTTCAGCAAGAGTTGGGGGAACTACTTCAATGTTCCATTCACACTGTCTGGGAATGGTGAAATATTCACTATCCTTCTGATTTACAAGTGTTAATGAATGACAGTTTGACATTACTTTAGCGCGTTAATTGTGAGTTCTGTTTCCGTACCATCTACGGTATATACAATGACGAAGTCACGTTTATCTACGATACAATCACAAATAAAAAGGTGGACTTGGAAATTTGGTTTATTGCAATATATCTTCATAAACCTGGTTCAGCTCATAGAAACTTACAAAACATGTCATTAATCATCGCATTTGAGCGTTGTGTTGTACACTGACTTTTTCAGATATCAGCGAACGGACTGAATAGTCATGGTGCATTACAAGCACAAATAAAAGTTACACGGCCAACTAAACGAATGGGATTATCCTTGTCATGTAAACCAACTAAAATTGTAATCAGCAATCAGAACACATCGTTACGCAATAGTCACTGATCTATTCGTACATTTGGTATAGCTGTGTATACACTGTGTATACTGCTTAATTAGATAACCGACCGGCGTTAATGAATCATGCATAGAATACCATAATTACATATGAATGAACAGTAAACATTATTTGCAATGGTTGCTTAAGAGAGGAAGTGTTTGTTTAGAACTACACATTTCATCACTACTCCAGATCACTAAACACAGATTTCATGACCAATTAAATAAAGGAGTTATCTATCGAGTGACAATAATTTTATTCACAGTATTTACATCACAAAGCTACCAATGATTATTCACGAATACTGGTCTCAGTTGACTTCTTCGTTAAAATGTATATAGAATCTAGAGGCAACTAATGCTTTCTATGGGGATCTAGACTGAATTATCAATCAGCACAACCAACTGGATATAGAATGACAATAGTTAATCTAAGCCGATCAGCTATAAAGAAAAACAAACGTAGACTGGATGGCTCATTCAACGTAAACTGAAAACAGAAATTTCAATTGATCAACCATAGATGATTACTATTCATTCAAAAGGATATCTCTTACCAGCTGTCTCCTGGAGCGAACTCATATTGTGAACCCATTTCTGAACAAGAGCATAACTTCCACCTGTTTGTTTGTTGATCGCCACCTCAGAGCGTTCATCCAAAAATTTAGGGTTCTCCGTGCCTCATTACAAAGTAGGATAAATTTTGAAAAATGTTAAGATTATGTTGTTGCACCAAGCAACAAGTCTAAATTAAGTAGGCAATTTAAATTTTTTCAACCACGATCGACTCAAAGGAACATATAAGCTTATTACAAACGAAGATCCCTTCGATTGATTCTAAAAGCATTTCTCAAAACAAGATTCATCAACACCATAGTTATTACATCAAGTCAATTTACTTCTGATGAAGATAACCGTTCAAATGTTTTCATTTGTGAGGAAGATACTGAAAGCCATTAGGAAAGTTTGGTAGATTTCTGACTGTCCGACTGAGAAACTTTCGTAAACATAACAATTTTAAGGAAGCAGTAATACTTGAGTGCTCTTAATGACCTAAAAAGTAGACCTAATTGTTAAACACTCTGCAATTTACAACAACCTTTTGATGAACATAAATGACTACATTATCTATACAAGCAACGGGCTTTTACTCAGCTCCAGGTCAAACATCTTTACAAACACAATTCAACCACTAATATGAAACTACAATTTACTTAATTACGTACCATCAACGAATCCACTCAAATCACGCCCATCGCGATAAGTCCAACCGTAAATATCTTCAAATTTATCCACACATCCACGCGGCATATTCTGAATGATGTATTTTGCCAAATCAAACAACATGCCATGAACATTACACTTTGCATGTACAAATATGTCACCACCTACAACATTAATAAAAACAGTTGTTCCAGAGTGAAAGTTAGAAGTATCCGAAAGTCATGTAAATTACTTACAAAACCCTACACACTCAGATTAAAGAATATTATACTCACTTAAATTGTGACAATAAATCCTGAAAACTTGCAGATAAGTATAATTCAACTTACCTGATTTAGGCAGTTTACCAAACTTTCCAGATCTTTCACGATATTCATAGTTTTTGATGCCTCTGAAACGGAAACGAGGACTGATCTTTTTGAAATAGTCAATTCCGAAACCAACACCGTATAGGATCTCATTATATTTTTCACACATATTACGTGGACAAATCTGATTAATATATTTCTACAATGAATGAACAAAGCACACACATCATGCTGAATAAGTAGTTTATTGAATCATGAATGACCACGAAGCTTGAAATATGTACAGTAGAATTTCAGTGTCCAAACGATTATTGTGTACAAATCTCTTTATGCATGCAAGACATCGATATTCTAACTACTTTTCAGACAGGCTTATAATAAGCCTAACACAACAAAGTCAGTTATTCTTAATTGCCATCCTTTACAGCCTAACTCTATGATCTTCAAATCATGTTCAAACGAACGAACAGGTTTATCACGTTTCATTATTAGCTTCTACGATGGTAATTTAAGTCTCGAAAAGAAACGCGTTTAGTGCAATATAAGTAATATAATGACAGTACGGTAACGAACAGAGACACTAACATGGTTAACATTCAATCTCCATCTACTTTATGCAGATTTTATATTGTTTCGTTTCGTATTCTTTACGTCAGCGAGATAACACAATTTTCCAATCCATTTATGATCGATTCCAGGTCATGTCGACTGCGAAACGGCGGAAGTACAACTTTTGATAACGTACGCTGTCAACATCACTTGCATCACACGGAGTATACGAGGCGGGGATGAATCAGGCATGTGATCATCACAATTTCCCTCATTTCATTTTATAATCCATATAACTTGTTTGTTAACTGACCACTACGTTACACCTTTACCATATTATACGATATTTTAACTCCACCCTTTTCCTGTCAGCCGCATTTTTGCAAGACGTGCTCATGTCTCAAATCAAGCTGGAATAGGTAACAGAAGAACATGGTTGAAAATCATAGCAAATGAACCTTATCTACATATAGAAACACAATTGCCTGCACACAACTTTTGCATGAAATTGAAAAGATTCAAAATTGTCTAAAATACCTCGATTCTTCCAACGGATCCCAAACACTCTCGCGATGCGTTGGAATGCAAGTGGATTGTCAGATATAAAGCATGAGATTTAGTATCACTAACAACCTGACAAAATAAAGCGTTTAGGAAACGTGAACGTTTACTGATTGTTGAGGGACAGTGTGAAGGAGATTCGCTGTCACAAAGTTTGATTTCGCGTTGGGACAAATTAAATTCAAATTGCAACTGATTAGTAAGCACAAGAAGCATACAAATTTCCTTATGCAACGGCACATACACATACTGATGACTTCTCAGCACTTCAGAAAGACCTACAGTAGAACATAACACCACTTTTCTTAAACAACATACCCCAAGTAAGAACTGGTGTGAACTGCATGACCCTGACGTTCAAATTAGTTGAAATACTATCGATCGACCTTCAACATTTTAAACTGTAATCCAATAAACAATGCCTTAATTGAGAGTTAGTATGAACCAGATAATTTATTTGATCTCGCTTACCAGTGTCACGATGCGGTATCTAAATTTTAGCGACTTTTTTCGTGGTCACATTTTGCCTTCTGGTTAATAAACCGTTGGGACGTTATATAGAACGGTTATCAAGACGAACTGTATACGAAGTTTAATGATTATATCGAATACCGATCACCACAACATCGATGTACACGAGTAGACTCTGATTTGTTGTAAGTTTTAGACTGAGATTTCCGTTCGATATTGCAAATTATATGACTCTTATCAGATAGCTAACAGTTACAAGTTATTTTTCAGATTATATGCACCTGTCGTTGAGTTTTATACCCAGGTGTTCTACTTGAGCGAAAATCAGTTTATAACGTGAATATTGATCCGCTTATATCCTGGTTTTCAACTAAATTAAACACAAACTCTCAAAAGAACGGCCATCCGTGTGTACCGTATACAATATGAAAGATTCTTGTAACAAGCTTGTATAGTCGAATTGAATTTATTGCGTTCACTTCTTGCTAATTGAGCACGACTCTGGTATTTCGTTATACCTAAGACTGACAGTTATTCGGCTGCGCTTAAACTAGTCAGTGTGATGGTTATCTTTTTCTTTGTATATCTTGTAATTTAAGTGGGTGCGTTTAACTCAATATAATAGGGTTTCTGAATTCTAGTAGCTAACGCAGTGTCAGTTTGGGGGTAGGTTGTTCGCAATGTAAAGACAAATAAATAAAAAATCGAATGCTGATAAAAGGCGAATGTTTCGAGCGTAGCAGGTACCTTAGTTAATTGATGGTGTGGAAGGAAATGGAGTTAGACTTCATGTAGAATAATGTTTATATCCATGTTGACACTCACTCGGTAATTAACCAGCACTTCTACTACATTCAGCATCACTGAAAGTAATGCGCCTCTTCTGCTTCCTTCTTTGAAGATTGAGAAAAAAGTAGACTACAGAGACTCTGCTAATTTAGCGTAGACTGCTTGTAGCATTACCTCAGACATTCTGGTTTCATTCTTCTAAAAGCTCTGATTCTCAAATAAAAGACACGTTCGGCATGTCATGAGCGATAATATGTAGAAGATGGTATGTGCTACGAGATAAGCTGACAAGATAGTTAAGTATATGACAGCGATGGAGTATCTTCGAATGCGCTCTATGCGTTAGTCATCATCGAATAAGAATCACGCATTGCACGAGTTATAAATTCTCCTTTGGGCTGTGGAATCCGAACTGACATGTTCCGGTTTGGTGAGCTCATCGAACCAACACTCCTATGGAAGTCAGTTCCAGAAGGAAGCTGATGTAACAAATTGAATTGATTGGTTAAGAGCTGGCTGTAAACATCTTAGAAATGTCAAAACATTTTAGCTCAAGTGTTCACTCACTTCCCTATTTTGTGTAGGCATTGTACTTCCTACTTTTCTGTATTGAATGTTGAATACGTTTGTGTTTGTAAAGATAGATTCTTTCCATAACTGTTTTGTCCCACGATCTTAATAAAGACCTGTTCACTCTTACTTTGGTTTCTTCCATTGACAGAACGAGGGGTGCTCAGTATCACGAAACACTCACTGTTAGCCGCCACCTGTCTCGTAGCCATGGACTATGTTGAAGCTGCTCTCTCATCATCGTGTAGTCTGCTCTTATGCAGCTATGATATGAAGCCTCCACATTGATCCGAAGTACCGCGTCTGTGTTTACATTAAAAATGACTGCATCACAGTGGTTACTTCTTGTTTGTGTACGGCTATAGATATTTTCTACCAGTAACTGACCATTCACTAGCAAATAGGCCAAGTTTGATAGTTCTCCATTCCAGTCCAATTTCGTGGTGCCACTCATATATTCAATCGGTCCTAGACATTCTGGTTGTCACATACTTTCTGTGTAACAACCTGGTTATGGTTGTATCTTGCTTGCCGAGTGTTAGGAATTATGTGCTGAAGTTCCCAATCTCAAGAATTTGGTCGAACAGCGGCTTCAGTATCGACTGTATTATCTTCCCTTTTCGAGTTCAGCACATGCGGCTTGTCGGAACATTTGTAGTGGCATTGGACAATAGCCACACAATCCACAAAGCTGTGAACACGAGACTACTCAGAAAATAGATATTCAATATTTAACGCGGAGAAATACCTAACAATGGCGAAGGCGCGAACAATGAATTGAATGGACTGGAGTTGATCGAGTGGCATGGCTCGGCCACGCAGGCGTGGTCTCTGGTGAATGTTACCTTATATCTTTTATTCATATTAAATATATTGTTCTTTCTCTAGCCTAACCTTGTTCTACATCATGTATTGGTAATTGATACGATACAGTGAGTTGATGTAGTCGATGTTGTGACTTCCACGTAAGATCTTATAGATTAGGCAGTTATATCATGACAAATCTACAAATTTAGGATTAGGTTTATTATTAGAGCAGTACTACTATCATAGTAGACCATAGTTCTACACATTCTTTCAATCAAGAACGTTGTGACGTCCATGTCGGCACTACACTAGCGTGATTTCTTCATCTCGGGTGATTTGTTACTGTGTGGTGTTGCAACTTCGAAGTGACTGTTCATGTAGTTCGTCACTCCAGCTCCCGTTTTGTGCCCTCTACAGTGCTGGAAAAAGGCAATGCCCAGAAAACATATCTTTTTATATATGATGACGGGAGGCAGCCATATTCCCCTTAGGGTTGTGGTCCTCATATACAAATGAAAGCAAATGTTTCTGATGTCAGTCCATATTCTTCTTACGGTGCTACAGGAGCCCTGAATCATTTGTTGCACCACCTGGTGCTGGTTTTTGGCACGTATGACGTGTCCTATTAAGGAGACTATAATCCCTGTGTTCTGTGCTGTGGGTTGCTGACCGAGGTCAACTGACATCAGAGTGTGCATCCTTGAGGCTTCTCGATATGCCCATAGAGATGGTTTATCGATATGTTTCACGCCCTAATGGTCTCAGTTAAATCCTCACGGTTTCTGAGATTTACAGTTACAAACGAAAAAGACTCAATGACCGAAAAATGTGACCGACTAAGTAGCCTGGGCGTACTAATTTTCATGAAGTCCCGGAGGTTTACTATACAGCTGCATGTCGTGTTCGTGATCTGAATCACGACCACCATATTCTAACTCAGGCACTTCATGAATCACCATGCTGATTGGCTCTCAGTTGTTTGTTGTTCAGTGTGTCAGACTCAGGAAGAAGATCGCTTCGTCGATGCTACAATTTTGTTATTCATTGCGAGCAGGCGTGCAAGAACGACAAACAGGCGTAACATAGTATAATTCCGTAGTAAAACCTTAGTAGTGCGGCATCAAAACAAAGGTGAACCCGGCCACGGCAGAAATTACATTCAGATGCCGAGTCACTGTTTCTAACGAGCAATGGGTGTTACTTCCTTACTTCCTTATGCCTGCTACTCCTCGTGGAGGAGCATGGGCTGCCCACCAGCGCTCTTCATCCTACCCTGTCCTGGGCAATCCTTTCCATTTCTTTCTAGTTTTTATCCATCCTTTTCATATCTGCTTCCAGCTCCCAACGTAATGTGTGCATTGACTTTCCTATTTTTAACTTCCCTCCGAATTCCAAGTTATGGCTTGCGTCGTGATGCAGTTTGATGATTTCCGTATTGTATGCCCTGTCCAGCTTTTTCTGACTCTGGTCCTTACTTGGAATGCATCTGTCACCTGTCCTACACGCTCAAACTTGCACTGTCGAATGCCTCTTCATAATCAATGGAGTTGATGCACCATGACGCATTCCACTCAACTGATTGTTCGACGATGATGCGCAGTGTCGCAATTTGGTTTGTGCACGAATGATCCTTATGGAATCCAGCTTGTTGATCTGGAAGTTGGGCGTCTACTGTGTCTTTCATCAGGTTCAGCAACACTGTTAAAAACTTCCTGGTGCGGACAGCAGTGTGATTCCTCTGCAGTTCTCACAATTGCTCAGATATCCTTTCTTTGGTATCGTGATGAGGTGTCCTTCTTTCCAGTCTGTCGGCACTTATTCCTCCTCCCAAATTTTCCCGAACAGAGTGTCTAGAGCATGTATGCAGATACCTCAGTGTCTGACTTCAGTGTTTCAGTTGATATTTTGTCGGATCCTACTGTTCTCCCGCTCTTGATTTGTCTGATGGACATTCTGATTTGCTCCGCCGTTGGTAGATTGACATCTATAGGAAGATCTGTGTGTGCTTCTTTGATGTCCGTTGTATTCATTGGAGCCGGCCTATTCAGGAGTTCCTCGAATTACTCTTCTCATCTGTCCCGCTGCTGCTGAATTTCAGTGATTTGCCTACCTTCTTTGTCTTTGACCAGTCTCTCTGGTTTATTATATTCCCCTGCTACTTTCTTCGTTGTATCGTGAAGCTGTTTCATATGTCCTACTCTTGTGGCTTTCTCTGCCGTCGTTGCTAGTTCTTCCACGCATTTCTTCTTGTCAGCTCTAATACTCTTCTTCACTTGCTTGTTTGTGTCTGTGTACTCAGCTTGTGCTTAGATATTCTCTGCTCGCATTCGGCTATTGTTAGTTGCTCTATTCTTGTTCTTCCTTTCTTTGATCCCGTCCAGTGTTTCTACAGTGATCCATTCCTTATGATGATGCTTCTTGAGGACTAGAACCTCTTGACACGTTAGAGTTAATGCTTCTTTGATACCTTCCCACTCGTCTTCCATAGTAGTTTCTTCTTCCTTCAGTAGATCCTGTAAGGCTTGGAACCTGTTGTTGAGAGCTATCTTGAATTCATTGAGTTTGTCAGCATCTTTAAGGAAGGCTGTATTGAACCTTGGTAGTGCTGTTTGTCCAGTTGTTCTTAAGCTTCAGTTTAGATCTCCCATCAGAATAGTGAGGTCCTATTTTGGGCTTCTCTCTGTGATTGACTGCAGCCGCTCGTAGAATTGGTCTTTAATGTCGTCGTTGATATCATTTCTGGATCCGTGAGATTCCCATCCTACAA